GTCCAGGCTGACCTTGAACACTGCCAGGGAGGGGGCAGCCACAGCTTCTTTGGGCAACCCGTGCCAGTGCCTCACACCCTCATAGGAGAGGATTTCTTCCTTATATCTGATCTAAACCTACCCTGTTTGAGCTTGAAGCCATCACCTCTTGTCCTGTCGCTACATGCCCTTGTAAAAAGTCCCTCTCTGGCTTACTTATAGGCCCCTCAGGGTACTGGAAGGCTGCGATAAGATCTCCCCGGACACATGGCAACAGGCCCTGCTACAAAGTCTGCACCCATCTTATAAACTCCTTTAAAGTACTACAGCCTTCTCTTCTTCAGGCTGAACAGCCCCAACTCTCTCAGCCTTTCCTCACACTAGAGGGGTTCCAGCCCCCTGATCATCTTCGTGGTCCACCTTGTGGTCCCGCTCCAACAGCTCTGTGTCTTTCCTGTGCTGAGGGCTGCAGAGCTGGATGCAGGACTCCTGGTGGGGTCTCAGCAGAGCGGAGCAGAATCCCCTCTCTCGCCCTGCTGCCCACGCTGCTGGGGATGCAGCCCAGGGTACAGCTGGCCTTCTGAGCTGTGAGTGCACGTTGCTGGGTCATGTTTGAGCTTCTTGTCAACCAGCACCCCCAAGTCCTTCTCCTCAGGGCTGCTCTCCATCCCTTCATCCCCCAGCCTGTATTTGTGCTTGGGATTGCCCCAACTTGTGTGCAGGACCCTGCACTTGGTCTCATTGCACTTTATGAGGTTCACACAGGCCCACCTCTCAAGCCTGCCAAGGCCTCTCTGGATGGCATCCCTTCCCTCCAGCGTATTGACTGCACTGCTCGGCTTGGTGTCATCTGCAAACTTGCCAAGGGTGTGCTCAATCCCACTGTCCATGTCGCCGACAAAGATATTAAACAGCACTGGTCCTACTCGGCACTGGTCTCCACCTGGACATTGAGCTGCTGACTGCAACTCTTTGAGCCAATTTCTAATCCACCAAGTGCTCGATCCATCAAATCTGTGTTATTCCAGTTTAGAGACAAGGATGTTGTGCAGGTCAGTGTCAAATGCTCTGCTGAAGTCCAGGTAGATGATGTCCTAGTTTCTAGGAGGATCTGCTTCATGATCTTGCTGGGCACAGAGGTGAGACTGGCTGGCCTATAGTTTCCTGGGTCTTCCTTTTGTTTTGTCTTTTCCAATCACTGGGAACTTCACCGGACTGCCACGACGTGGCTTACCAACTTCACCTGCCAGTTTCCTCAGGACCAATGGATGCACCTCATCAGGTCCCGTGGACTTGTGCGCTTCCAGGTTCCGTAGATGGTCTCAAGCCTGATCTTCTCCTACAGTAGGCAGTTTTTTGTTAGGCATTTTTTCATTCATCCAGTCCCTGCCTTTGCCTTCTGTGACTTGGGCAGAGAGTGCTTTTTTTTGATGGTGGTGTCATTGTTAAACGTGGCTATTTGAGCTAAGCAAGTTCTAAAAGTTGAGGCGACTGACTGTTTCTATCCCACTTGTTCTTGATTCCTGTATTTCCTGTTACTGAGTCAAGCACAGAGATATTGTGCATGAAGACAAGTTTGGAAAAAGTGGTCACATGTCTCACTGTAGCTGAGATTAGCAGCGTGATAGCAAATGAAGAGTTCAGAGCTGCAAAATAATTGGGATTTATTACGCACTTCTGGAGCTCTGATAAGAAAATCCAGTCGTCTGGCACATTAAGATAGTGAGGTCGTTGTCGTGTCTCCTTGTCCCTGTCTCCAGCTTGTGAAATTTAATTGTAACCAGTGTGCTGCTGAAGGAAGATCTGTATCTTTGAGCACAATCAACAAACCAAATCAGGAAAAATTTCAATTATTTCACTTAAAAGGAAATTTTAATTAAAATTTTCACTTTAAATTTCACTTATTTTGTGCAAGTAAACTTGTGTTTTGCAAATACGTTTTTCTAGGTGTGTATAAACAGTAAGTGGAAATAACATAACTGACAAAATGTCACTACTCTACATAATGAACAGTGTGACAAATAGGAGGATGTAGAGCTCCATCACTGACTGTGGTGTGATACCTACACTTACTCATATGGCTACTCTAGTGCACATTGCTTCTGTTTTCTAGCTCTTTGCTCTTTCTGCCACTTTCAAGTTTGGAAGGTGACATTGCTGTACTACTGATCCATTTTTACAGCTCTTCTGTTATTGCCTTACTCTTTCAAGGTTTAACAGGTTTGGATCTAATTTTAAACTATTTGCCTATTGTCCGGTGTGTGTAAGGTGAAGGTGATGCTAGTTGCTGGGTAGAATCCCTCTCTCAAACTTCTGAGGGAGATTGCCAGCCAGTTTGTTGATGAGTAGGCAATCTCAGACTTGATAGTCTTTGGTGACTGCTGTGGCCAGAAATGCCATCATTTCAGGCTAGTTAAAAACTGTTTCCTTCTGACTTACGTGGCTCCAGTTTGCCATACCAAAGGTTAAGGAGAAAGCTGCTTAGAAGTAAGAACTGGTGTGCCTTCATCTGAGCAGAGTGGACAGGTGAGTAAAAACATACTGACCAGTTTGGAAGTGATTTCGGTGTAGTGTATAGATAGGTTTTGTTTATTTGTGAAATATTGAATAGTTTTGGATACAGCACAGAAGAAAATGTATGTTTCTCTACCTCTGAACTGAATACAGAATCACAGAATGTTCGGGGCTGGAAGGGACCTCTGTGGGTCATCTAGTCCAACCCCCCTGCCAAAGCAGGGTCACCTAGAGCAGGCTGCATAGGAACTTGTCCAGGCAGGTCTTGAATTTCATCTCCAGAGAAGGAGAATCTACAACCTCCCTGGGCAAACTAATACATACTAATATTTACTGGCTCAGTGTGATGCTGCAGTGACTAAGGATATACATTAGGTCATGAGTAGTGTTCCCCAGGGCTCAGTTTTGGCGCCAGTCTTGTTTAATGTCTTTATTGATGATCTGGATGAGGGGATTGAGTGCTCCCTCAGTAAGTCTGCAGATGACACCAAGCTGGGCGGGAGTGTCGATCGGGAAGGAAGGCTCTGCAGAGGGATCTGGACAGGCTGGATCAATGGGCAGAGGTCAGTTGTATGAGGTTCAACAAGGCCAAGTCCCAGGTCCTGCACTTGGGTCACAACAACCCCATGCAATGCTACAGGCTTGGGGAGGAGTGGCTGGAAATCTGCCCGGTGGAAAAGGACCTGGAGGTGCTGGTCGACAGCCGACTGAACATGAGCCAGCAGTGTGCCCAGGTGGCCAAGAAGGCCAGCGGCATCCTGGCTTGTGTCAGGAATAGTGTGGCCAGCAGGAGCAGGGCAGTGATTGTGCCTCTGTACTTGGCACTGATGAGGCCGCACCTCAACTACTGAGTTCAGTTTTGGGCCTCTCACTACAAGAAGGCCATTGAGTTGTTGGAGCATGTCCAGAGGAGGGCAATGAGGCTGGTGAAGGGCCTAGAGTACAAGTCTTATGAGGAGCATCTGAGGGAACTGGGGCTGTTTAGTCTGAGGAAGAGGAGGTTGAGGGGAGACCTTATCACTCTCCACAACTGCCTGAAAGGAGGGTGTAGCGAGGCAGGTGTTGGTCTCTTCTCCCAAGTAACTAGTGAATAGGATGAGAGGCAGTGGCCTCGAGTTGCGCCAGGGGAGGTTCAGACTGGACATTAGGAAAAATACCTTTACTGAAAGAGTGGTCAGGCATTGGAACAGGTTGCCCGGGGGGTGGTTGAGTCCCCATCCCTGGAGGTGTTCAAAAAACGTGTAGATGTGGCACTTCAGGTATGGTTTAGCAGGCATGGTGGTGCTGGGTTGGCAGTTGGACTTGATGATCTTAGAGGTCTTTTCCAACCTTAATGATTTTATGATTAACTGGAGTGCTCTAAGTAGTTTGGCCAAAGACATAAAAATGAGAGCAGGAGTGTGTTCAGACTGTGCTCTAAGACCTGGCTTTTTAATAAAGTTTCTGCTAAGCTCTGTGCTCCTTATGTTTGTTGTGTTGAAGGACTTAGTTGCTTCGGTCACTTTCAAAGTAGTAGATTTTCTGGAACATAAGGATTCCTTACCCATGGAAGAAGAATTTGCTTATTTATTTAAACTGTGAAGTACACTTACGCTTTAACACAGTGAAAGCCACCGTGATGTTCATAGTAGTAATATAATATCCGTGTCCTATTCCAAGTGATTGCCTTAATTGTGATGCACATAGTCATGTAATGTCTCTTATTAACTTGTTCTCCAAATTGATAAGGAGGTTTTTCTAGTCTGCCTAGGGGTTCTTTTTCTGAGTGTCTCTTCTCAGTCACATTATAAGGATTCTTAATCTAAAATCGAGAAGAGTTGATGTTTCCTGCCCATCGACCTGGCAAGAATGTAACAACATCCAATTGTGGGAGTATAAACAACAGTTTTAATTTAGTCTTTCATTTAGAAAGCAGTAGAACTTTGACCTCTTATCTGTGTTTCTAACTGTGCTTTTCAGATAGTTGTTAAGATCACCTTTTATTTCCCAAGCTACAGTCTTGTTATAGGAAATCTTTGTAAATCATTCCAGTAGTCAAGTGCTGCAACGTAGAACTTGAACATTGCTGTATATGTGCGTTTATTGCTTTTAGTAGTTAGAATTAGTAGATTGGCAGGCCAGTAGCCTACGAGTCTTTCTTGGTGTGCTTCATCCAGTTCAAAATATTCTTATGTTTCATGGCCTGCTTGGGAATTCATTATGACATTGTCAAAACCAACAAAATCATTGCTTTGAAGATATCATTCTACTACGTTTCATGGAAGTACTAGGGAGAGTCCGGCAGTCATCAGAGATGTGTGTACAAACACAGACATTCACCTCCCGTCCCACTTTCTTCTCCCACTTTCTTCCATGCTCTGGAATAGCTGAATGGTCTTGCAAGTCATGTGTATCGAAGTCTTAATAGGAAGGTGGAGCCGTCCATTCTTACCCGTAGCACCTCCTTGAAGCATGTGTAAAAAACTAAATAGTGTCGCTAAATGTAATTGGGTCAAAGGGCACTTCCTAACTTCATATGCGAAGGAAAAATTGGAGGAAGCTTGCAAGCTGAGATAAGTGTGATAATCTGCAGTCTATTTCCATTAAGCGTGGTGATTTTAGCACAGCACTCATTGCCTTCCCATCCTCTGTATCCTGTTGGGATGCAAACACCTACCGTCGTCTTCTGCCACTGTTCTCCCTGATTTTCAAGGTGAGAGAAATTTCTGGATGTAGTCTTTGTAAAAGGTTATTTTGGTTCCTGACATCAGAGAACACTTGCTTAAAGTTTGCCAGGTATTGGTTGTGGTACTCTGGCAATCTGAGGAGCCAGAGGGTATAGGCGAAGCTGACAGAGAGGGTTAGCTTACACTGTTGGTGTTTCTCAGTTAGGCAAATTATCCCCCAGCTCTATGTTGCTGTAGCCAGACTGCTGTATAGCAGAGCCAGCTGGAGCGTTGTCAGACATCTTTGCAGGGAGAGTGGCATAGCTGAAAATTACTATAGTAAAAGCTTTTCAACCTCTTACTGATATCTTTGGATGTAGAAGTACTCTGCAAATTTTTTTTGTTGCACAAATTTGAAAAATCTAATACTTAGGACAGTACTGAAAGAAATTCTGCTGCTTGTTTTCTTTTGCTAAGTATCGACTCCTTTTAGCTGTACAGACATTTATTCTAAAATAGTGTGGTCATTTTTTGTTTTCCCATATAGAAGTCTACATACCAAATTCCAGAGTTCAGCCATTTAAGTTGTTTACTGATGAAAACTGTGGCATTCCCTTCTGACAGCAGGAAACCCATCTTGATTTCTCTGTTGTGTGCTCACACACACTGGGCTTGTGAATAACAAAGCAATTTTCTTTTGACTTTCAAAATTGGTTGTGTTAGCATTTACTGTGGGCATCTAAACTGCTACAGTGTAAAACTTCATGAAATTCTTCCCAGGCTGTAGTAAGTAATAGAAAATTGGAGTCAGTGCCACTGTTTTCCATCCTTAACTGTAAGGCTTGCAAAAAGTGAGTATTCGTGGATATTTCTCCACTTTCATTTCTGTAGCATTAGGAATTGATATCTTTAGGCTGGAAAAGAGTGGCTAGGAAGTCGGGGATTTTAAGGTTGCCTTGCCTATGCTAAGCTCGTATCATGGATTTGAATATGGTATCTCTGGTTGCATCTCTTCTGTGCCGTTTTCTGTGCAGCTCCAGGTCATGTTCTTACTTGCCTCTGCTTTATAAGCATTCCAAATTTTGATTATTGTTCATGAATATAACATGGATTTTACATGAGTAGTGGTTTTATAAGAATGGTATTTTGAAGGGGATGAGGAAGGGTATGGAGAAATGAGCAGAGAAACCCATTACTGACATGCATCTTTTTTACATCTTTTCACTTTCCATTTAGCCCATTCTTTGCAGATACCAGATGACTCTGTGCAGCAGTATGAATGCAATTTCATCTTAAGTATGACATCTTCAGTAATGTAATGCTGCTGATGCTTTTCTAGGGCATTAATTAATTGCTGAGTCGGGAGAATAGTAGGAGGTTTTTTTATATGTTGCATCCTAGAGACCTCTTATCTAAATATTGGCCTTCATTGGCTTTGAGGTTATTGCTTAACAGAGAGAGATCTTGTGTATAAGCATGAATGATTTTGTTTTGTGGAAAGTTCTTTCCTTTTTGAGTATTTGTAACATTGCACACAAATGCTTTGTGGACATCTACTGTCAAAAGATGTCTTCATATCTTGTAGAAGGTTGTCCAGGTAGGTGACACACAAAGGGTAAATTGAAAGGGAAAAGACCACTTTTTTTTTTTTACTATTATTTTAATTTTCTTTTTTTTAATTTTTTTTTAACCCTGAGGCAGCATTTAAGACTGTTTTTCACTTAGTAGTTTGTCTCAGAGATCTCTGTCTCTTTGTCTTGAGGGATCACAAGTGCCAAGATGTACCTTTGAAGCCAGGAGTCAGAAAGCTCTGTGCTTTAGACTTTCTCCATGCCAAAGGAAAAGTAATGAGAAAGGAAGCTAATGAACATGTGCAGTGATGAGGGATAGGATGTGCAGAAACTGAAGAGAATGCCTTGATATAAAAACAAGTTACTTTCATTTAGCAGATCAAAACTGCCAGCAAGATTTAACATGCTCTATTGTAATGTACTCCAAAATTCTGTTTCCTTTATATACATAATGGAAAGGCTTGTCATGAGCTGATGTTGTCTAGTACCCAGGGATGCTTTGTCACTGAGTGCCACGCAGAGAAGCCTTACAGTGTAAGGAAGTTTTAAGACATACTGTAATGTCTGGGCAGCTGGGAAGGATGCTCCAAATAGCTACTGGATGGTAGGCTGTAGTCTGAAAGTAATGATTTGACTCGTTACATTACATTAAGTATTATGAAGAAGATATAAACTAAGCAAAAGCATTCAGCTTTATGTGCAGAAGAGTACTGGGTTCTGCTTCCAGGCTATGGTGGAATCATGGTGTAGGCTATACAGGTAGAGTGGAAAGGACGGTATTGTTTTTTGCAGCCAGTTCTAGCAGGAGGCCTCATCTCTCCAAATGCGACCCAAAAAGTTTCAGTCTACCTTAAGAAAGCTGATTGCTGACTGCAAACAATGGCTAATGCCAGTGAAGAGAAAGATCTCCATGAAGGCTTAAAGAGTTTGCTGGGCTTTACTGCTTTGTGAAAAAGAGAACAAGCAAGATTCAGCAAAGTGTTGTTCTTATTTTCACCTTAATGTTCAGTTTAGGTGTGTGACATGATGCTTACAGTGTCTGAAAAGGCAGCTGTTAAACCAGCTGCTTGCAGGAGCTAGACCGCACTGGAGAGTATTAAAAACCTATAATCGTGGCTAGTCAACGTTTGTAACGTAGAGATGTTTTGGGACCAGAGAAAATCAGTTTGACTGGTTTTTACTGTGTTCTGGGCTGCTGTATGCTAAGAAGCACTGTTGGCCATCGTAGCTCAGAAAAAGCTTTTTCTAAAACTTCTACAGGTCTGTTTTTCCACAGGATGGAAATAGCTTTGTAACAGTGTGGCTGATAAGCCTGGTCTTGAATTTGGGGAGAGAGGAAGGTAGTCTAATCTCTGCGAGAGCCACAAGGCATGTTGAAAGCAAAGGCATTCCCCTCAGCTGCAGTGAAGGAGTGGTAGAAGGGCTTGTCAACCTGAAGGAAAGTGAAGTTGCCAGCCTGTACTTGACGACTTCACCATTTGGTAAATGTCAAGTCCTATTTAGCAGCAGTGTAAACAGGGAAGTCATCTGTGTTTCTTCATAGGACAGTCAGCTGTTAGCAGTCAGGCTAATACTCTGCTGCTGTACCAGTTTATCTTAAAATATCAGCAGTGAAGAAAACTGTTCTTTTTCCTCAAAAGTGAAAATGTTGTTTTCATGCAAATTACCAAGGTACATCAGAAATGTATTCAGCAATGATCTGTGTTGTTTGCACTCACTTTATTTGTGTCAGCTGTGTTGTGAGATACATAATTTTGTTTTTTTCTCCAGTTTTTGCAGACACTGGTGTGTGCACAGTGTGTTTGAACAAGGGATTGATGGCTTAGAATTGTTATGTGGCCTCTGCTTTCAACAACCTTTTAATCAGATTCATGTTATTGGCTACCTTGTGTGGAGGCATGTGATTGTGGGTGTTCCTGCTGGTGATACAAGGGCAGTTGTTAGACTGCCTTTGTTCTAAACAAGTATCTATGATCACATCCAAAAGCTGTCTTGCTGATAGAGAATAACGCTTAGCGCAGAGCACTGCTAGCATGAGAGGATATGAATCTTGAGAGAGAAACCAGGTAAAAGTGCCAGAGGAAAGTTCTCAGTGAATGCAGAAACCCTTTGGGTTGTAGAAAGCCAGTGAGTTTGGGCTGCTATTGTCAGTTGCTTTGGAGAAAATAAAGTGCATCTGTGTTTCTAAAAGTAGGATGGTTAAGAAAGTTGCTGTTTGGAGAATATGACTGTTTCTTTTGTTTGTTTCTAGTGCTTGGATCAAAGTGGAGCAACTGAAGCCTTATCACCCTCACAAAGAGGAAATGATAAAGATTAACAAGGGTAAGCGCTTCCAGCAAGCTGTGGATGCTGTAGAGGAGTTTCTTAGAAAAACCAAAGGCAAAGACCAGGTGAGTGGGTTCTTTTTTACTGTGTGCATCAAAATAAGTCTTGGCGTGAATGATGGTCAGATGCATTTTTAAATGAAAGTAGAATTCATTTGTTGCCTCTGGCAAGTTGAGGAGGGGAGGGTTCGTTTTCGTTTCGGTGTTGTGGTTTTGTCCCCCCTATCTTTTCTTCCCGATTCAATCTTGCATGGTGAGAAAAATGTTGTTAAACTGATGGAGAAACTGAAGAAGCTAATTGATCTGCTTATGATGATTTGATAAATCAGTCTTAAGTCTTGGGCTAGAATTTGATATCTACTTATCTTGTCTTTAGTATATTGGAAGTGCATATATGCGCACACAATCCCAGCAAGTCTTCAAGTGGCCTGTTCGGTTACTCGCTTAAACTGATGTACTTTTACAGGAGAGCTAACCAGGAACTTCACTCACCAACTTCAAAGGGCTAACAAATATCTAGTTTTCAAGTTACTGTGCTGCGGTTTTGCTTGATAGTAATCAGCACAGGGTCCTTCACATCCTTGGTTTTGCATGAAAGTCTCTTCTTTTCTTTCCTTACCATCTTCTGTTCTGTAATCTCTCAGGCGTCTTCCCATAACTCCAATGAAGAGAAGAATCGACGTAATTCCAGTGAAGAAAGAAGCAAGCAATCTGCTGGTGAAGAGAAACGCAAAGCCAGTTTGTCTGAAGGGAAGGTGAAGAAGGGCACAGGGGAAGGAAAAAAGAGGGTCTCTTCTGTATCGTCAGAGAGAGGATCAAAATCACCTTTGAAAAGAGCCCAGGATCAGAGCCCCCGAAAGCGGGGGCGTCCACCCAAGGATGAGAAGGTTTGTGTTGTGCATGTCCGCCAGTGCCCTGTGGACTTTGCAGATGCACTCTAGGGTTGACTGGCATCTTCACTAACAGGCCAGCAGGAAGAGTCAGTTCACTACCAGTTTTTTTTAAGCTGTTCCATATTACTACTTCTAGACCGTTTGGCTGCCTGATACCTTTGGCAAGCATGTTGCTTGATTCTTCCTGTAACTTTTACCAGTTGTTTTCAGTGGCTCTATTCACATATCTTTGAGAGGGCTTTGAGAGCTGTATCGTGAGATCTCCACCTTTCATCTTGCCATCCCTCAAGTTCAGTTTGTGGGGGAAGGATTAGTGAAGAGATGTGGGTCTTCATCTGATTCGTGACTTCTCCCGTCTCATCTACTTTGTATGATTAAGTGATTAGTAGTCACTCAACTTCATCCTCAGTACTTACAGGGGGTGGGGTATTCTTAAGGACTAAGGCTTAAAGAAGAAACACTTGCAACCTGGGTAATCCACCAGAAGAATTGTATTCATTTAGTCTTCTATGTTATAGCATATATTTCCGTCCTCCTTTATAAAGGTCCAACCTTCAAGCATTGTTATTTTATCCCCATTACTTCCCTGTTATTTCTGGATGTTGTGGCAGCAATGATAGCCATCAGTACTTTGTCTACCCTCATCTAGAGTTCCAGCCTTTTTATTTATTGTGGAACTCACTGTTGTGGTATAGATCTTCCTTTTCCAAATGGATAAATATTTCAGTGGATTATTACAATGCACGTGCTGCATCGGAGACTACACGTGAAGACCACTGGGAAACTTCAGCTGATACACCATATGGCAGCCTGCTTGCTCACCTGTGCTGCAGAGGGATCACATTGTGCTGTGCCTCACAACTTTTGCTTTCAGTGCACTTCTGGATGCAAGTCAAGATGGTAGTCTTTAATCTCCAAAATTGTGAATGGATTGGCCTTCAGTGGTTGAACAGCAAACTCTTTCTTGATGTAGTCAACTAGCTACAAAGGAAATACTGGCTTTTTTTTCTTTAGAGCCAGCTTGTGTTGGATCAGGCTGTACAATAGGGCCCATCAGTTTCTCTTTTGGGGGGAAGTTGGGGGAGGGGAGGAGTGGATGCATATTTGTAAATTCTTACTAATAATTACAGAACGTGTGACTTGACTGATGCGGAAAAACGCTTTAACAGCAGTATACTTTCACCTTTCAAAGTGTCTTGCTATGAGCGTGCTGTATCTTCACGTATTTCTGTTGCAATAAGCCATGGGGCATTTTTTTTTCACTTGCAAAATGCTTTTGTATCTCTGAGCTAGATTCATTCCAAAAATTGATCAAAAGTAATGGCTGGAAGAATTCAGATTCTGCTGACACATTGCATGCTTAGGTTTTACTGTATTAGCTACCTCAGGGCATCGGAGCGCTATGAGTTAGTTGTGGTAGTAGAAGTTATTTTACTGGCAAATTGCAAGCGTGGTGGTTTTAAACGGCTGATCACAAAGAGGTGGCCAGCTATGGGATAAATGTCTGGCCACAGACCATGAAAATAAGCAGGCTAATGTAGCAAAGTAGCCTTGTAGCTTCTGGAAAGGAATGTACTGACAATTAAAGAAATTGCCGTGAAAATATAACAGTACTGCTTTAATGCTATTTTTCAACCTGTGAAATAGTTTTCAAATCTTGTCGTCTTATTGCCTAGTTCTCATAATTTCCTCAGATTCATACCCCCAGGTATCGCTGTTGTGAATTACTGCAGTGTTGGGATTTGGGTTTTTTTGTCCAATCACAACTTCTGGCTTTCCAAGTAATAAGGATACACAAATTTCAAGAATCCAGTTGTTGCTGAGGTGTACTCTATCTAGAAATGCTCTGTAGGCGTACATGATCATTCACATACTCTCATTTTTAAGCTTACATGAATATTTTCAAAGGACCAACATGACTTGATAAGTATCAGAGCAGGTTTCATCCACACTTTACCCATTGAAATAGCAGCATGGTCTCAAAGGGGAGAAATTTAATGTGCAAGGCTCTCCCTGGACACTTCAAGGTTGGAGACTGGTGTCTAAGTTGTGCCTGCTGACAGATGAAATGGTTCCATCAATCTGGGTTACCTCCAGGAGTCTCAATCTTACCTTTTTTGCAAACAGGGCTCTTCTCTTGTGTTTCTGCGTGGACACTGAGGTATACTCTTGTGTTTCTGCGTGGACACTGAGGTATATTGTACATTTTCAAGAAGCAGTTTTAGAGGGGCAATAATGTGATTCCATTTATGAACTCTCATTTCAGGAAGATGACACATACTATGCAGAAGTCCTGCACGTTCAGTTCATATAGCATAAAGACCTATATATGTATATATCCTAGATCTATGACCTGTGGCATAAAGACCTATTTTAACCTGTATATCTCGGGGATATAAGAAAGATAAATTTTAATCTGCTCAACAGTAAAAAAAAAACCACAACAGATGCATTAAGTATTATCATGACGTTACAAATCAGGGCCTGTTGAGTGAATGGGGCATTCCACATACCAGTTTCTGTCTCATGGATTCCGCAAACTTTACCAGGTGTGACTATCAGCCTTGTGCTTTGAAGGTTCTCCCGTTAACAGGTAGGCTACTGTTTTTATGACGGGAGGATTAGAAGAGTTCAGACCTCTGACTGTGGTGATGTTCTTCACACATTTGTTTAGCGTTTTGCATCCACCAAAGGAAAATGTTGGATCGAGTGTGTTTATTTGCTTCTCTGCTCATTGCATGATTACACAAGTGCAATGATTCCTCTTACATATGAAGAATGGATTCTCCAGAAGCCATGACTATGGTTGAATTCCTTTGTTGGCAGTTCATGTTTTCTTCACCGCACCTGTGTCCATAATGCACTGTGTCTTTAAATATGAACTCTTCATGGAAAAGCATGTGAAGTGGAAGGTGTTTGTAGTGCTTTTCAGAACTCTGTATGTGTGCTCATATGATCAACGTGCTGCGGCCAGCCACCGAGCCAGGTTGTAAGCTCTTTCTGATCCTCCTTCTATCTCCTCAGGACCTCACAATCCCAGAGCCAAGTACAGTGAAGAGAATGATGACTGGAACAGTGGCTGGATTTAAATGGCCGCCAAGCGTCAGTGAGGTGAGCAACTTTACAGCATATGTGGTCTAGGAACAGAGTTTGTGGAAGCGAATCTAGAACGTTTTGTCTGGGCTGTGAAATAGCAAGATCTTATCTTCCTCTTGTAGGAACAAAATAAGACACTCTTGTTCTGTCATTCTGTAGTGTAACAATGCTAGACAATATCCTGGACAATTAAGAAAGATGTTGAGAAGTGAGATTTTAGTCTTTGTATAACCATTTGCATTTTCACACTTAACTTGCTGCACTCATTTTTGTACTTGTTTCAAAAGTATTTCTGGGACTGGCTTCCAAAAACTGGAGGAGACGATGTGGATACTCCTTCCCTGTCTGGATACTGTTGTATGGGGTGGTTTCACTTGATTTCCCTCAAACAGCTTTTGGAAACCTTTCTTTTTTGTGCATAAATAAATAAATGATCAGTAAAGCAGAGGAAGAGCAGTGTGACTCTAGGCTGGTACATATGATGCGCGCTGGGGAGGTGAGATACTTGGACCTGCAGTCCTTGTTGCTTTTACTGTGCATTTGCCTAGCATGTGACAGTGCTAGGGGTAATCTCCAGCCAGTTTCCAGAATGCTGTTTTAAGGAGTTCCTTGGAAGCTGGAAAGCGTTTCGTTTGCTTGGGAAGAGGATGAAGCGGGATATGAGAGCTCTTCCTCCAATGTTAATCTTGCTCATAATCTTCTTTGGTTTTCCTACAGATTTTCATAAACGAGGAGTTTAAATGGAATGGCTTTGGTTTTGAGAATGAAACACAATGTAACCTGCTTAATTGAAATAGGCTGCTTGATACAGCTGATACATTTTTATATTTTCCATCTTGTGGTTGCTCAGTGACTATCTGGGAGTGTTTCTGAGCCTGTACTTTCTCTCTTTGTAGCCTGTGAAGCACAGTGATCCACACTTTCATCACTTCCTGCCGAGCCAGACAGAGAAGGTGAGGATTTGGCAGGCAGGATCATTCTGCTGGTCTGTCTAGCTTGGCATCCTGCCCTTTCCCTTTGCAAGTACAAGGAGTGTGCGTAAAGAGCTCTGAAATTCTCTTCTTTGGGGGCTAGCAGCAATGAAGATTCTTATGTGTAATCTTGTAGTTCACTTCCAAACCTTAAGGTCTAGAATGATTTAACATTGAGTGCAGTGAATAGTTTAAGTAATTAAAGATTATCTAGCACCAGAATTTGACAGATCTGTTGTAGTAAATTCTGTAGATTGAACATTGAGGGGTACGAAAAGCTGTTTTTCTGTTTAAAAGCCCTGTTGTTTGATTGTCTTCGGTTGACCTATGAGTTCCTTCATCTGGATGAACTTGTCAATTAACTGAATATGGCAGGAGAATTTCAAGGACCAGAAAAGTTCCATGTAAAATATAGCCAGTTTATCTCCTGAGAGTCAAAATCCTGCAAGGCTTTTATCTTTGGCAGCAAACATCAGGAGGAAAAGGAAATACCAAATTAAATGAAAAAAGGATTTATATCTAGCTGAGGATCTGGGCAGAGCCAGAAGGATTAAAAGCAGCTAACAGTTTTAATCTAGACAAGCTTACAATAAGCAGCATGGGAAGGACCAGCTTTCACCTTGATGTTTGTTGAAAGCCACGTGCCTTCTCGCGTTAACAAGAAGGTTTTGCTTTCACAGCTGCATTGACATACTGAGTGTAGCTCATAGAGTCAAGGTGCTCTGTGGCACACTTCAGAGATCTCTGTTTTCTTTGGGCCAAGTGTGAGAGTAGGGATGCCCTGGATCCTTCCCTCTAGAGGAGCTTGTCATACGAACTACAGAAAGGAGCTTGCAGTACCTGTATCAGAAGACAGGCTGAATTGCTGGGACATGGTGGGAAAGGAAGAGCTTAGTATGTTGCAATAGGTTTTTGGTTTATTTTGTCCCGTTGAGAGCTGCCTGAGATTTTTCCTGCTTTGCAGATGGTAGTGGGTGGGTGAGCTGCCTGTTGCTATGTAGCAAGGACATGGTCTGTTCGCTCAGCAGAGCAAATCAGGACTGTCCTTCCACTGAATGCTTTGTCTTCTCCATACAGCCAGCTGTCTGCTATCAAGCCATCACAAAGAAGCTGAAGGTTTGTGAAGAGGTAAGGCAAATCTTGGGTTTGATGGATTTTTATTGTCATGAGGTCTTGTAGTTCCTCCAGAGCTGTACACTCGGATTTTTTTTTTTTTCTTCCCCTCCCCACCCCACATAGGAAACAGGATCCACCTCCATCCAAGCAGCAGACAGCACGGCAGTCAATGGCAGTATCACGCCTACAGACAAAAAGTAAGATCTCCAACGAACTTCAGCCATTTCCCTTCTTTTTTCTCCTTCCCAGCTCATATATGCAGCCATTATCCAGCTTGTCACTGAGAACAAATAAACCTGACGTTTCCCTGTAACTACAGATCTCCTCTGTCCTTGTGTGAAACTCTGATTTCGGGGGTAGAGGGGGAGGAAGGCAGCTAAAAACAAACAGAGGCTGTACAGTAGAAAAATTCAGAATAAGGTCTGGCCTGGATACATTTGCAATTCAGGGCTTTTCTGCAGTTGCCCTTTTCCTGTAGGGCATAGTGCAGAACATTAAGCAGCAGTATTTTGGAGTGCTGTGTGAGGCAGAAAGATAAAAGGATATCTTTCTCCAGTAGTGCCTGGCAGTTGACTGGCGTTATTTAATCACTCTTCTGAGTGTGTAGAAGACCAGAAGAGGAGGGAGGCGTGTTCTCCTAGCACAAGAGCTTTGCTGTGTAGCACGTGAGCTTTCTGGTTTCTTCTGACGTCCCCCTCTCCTTTCTAGAGTGAGAGAAGCCTCACTTGAGCTTCCTGTTTCACTCTGTAACTTCCGCTCTGTTCAAATTGAGTTCAGGCCACAGCTTACTGTTTGCCACTGGGGTCGTCCTCATGGGATGTCAGTTCTCAACTGTACTCCAGGGAAACCAAAATAACAATGACGTTTTTCAGGTAAAACAGTCTCTCAGGAAAGTGTGGCTCAGAGGTGGGTTGGGAGAGAAAGAATATCTCCTGTTTTAGACACTTGAAAGTAGGTGGACCTTGTTTAGGTTGTTGAAGGAGCTTATAGTGACTTGCTCTGACCTGTTTAGATTAGTTTGCTCAGCATGACTAGCTGGGAGAGTGCGGGTAGTTTATGAATGCTACAGCACATCTGTAGTGTGGCTAATTCTGAAGAATTAACTGGGGAATTGCCAGGCAGATTGTGTTGTGAAGTTACAGCAGACATGTAACAAAACACTTCAGAATCTCCTATTAGAACTGTGGTTTTGGTATGAAGCTAGCTGCATGATGTCTAAAAGGATCCTTGCAGCAATGACTGCAAAGGAATTCCTGTTGCAGGTAACTGTAGGGATGGAACTTGTTAGCATAATGTCTTTTTCTTGAATGGAGGGGAGCAAAACTCTTGCCAGCTTTTGGAGGTGTGGGGCAGGAGGCATGGGGGAAGGCAGCTGGTATCTGGGACTACTGTGTTGTCACTTATGGTGACGTGTACTGACCTATTACTTCCTTTTTTTTTTGTGTCTGTCCAAAATTGCAGCTGTAGAGCAGGGACTAAGTCTCTGGTCTGTGCGTGATGCTTAGCCCAGTAGTCTTTGCTGAGCTTTATTAAAGTAAGGATTGTAATGTATCATTCGGTAGTATAAGCAAGTCATTATACATGTGACTTAGTTTAAAAATCAGAAGATTAATTGGAGAAGCACCTGCTGATCTCTGAATCTTCCCTGTATCTTCAGTAAAGCAGTGGCTGGCAACAGAAGGCACAAGAACAGCAATTTTAATAAAACAAACAAAAACCCCCAAACAAACAAAAAACTCCAGACCATCCAAACCTTTAATATTTAGGTAGTCTTCTGAAGAAGACTAAAGACTTTCTTCAGGAAGTCGTTAGGGATGTTTAGTAAGCAGAATAAATACCAGCTTGCTTTTAAAGCTCAGTATCTGCCCATTCTAGCTGTGGCAGCAGTGGAACGTGTTTGGTTTTATTGTGGTTTGGGGATTTTTTTTTTTGCTGGTGTTGCTCCAGGGTTTGCTTTTTGTAGTTTCCAAGACCATGAGAAACTGACACCAATTGCTTTCTGTTGCATTAATGTTTATCTGTTCCCCTCAGGATAGGATTTCTGGGACTTGGCCTCATGGGAAGTGGCATTGTCTCCAACTTGCTGAAGATGGGTCACACTGTCACTGTCTGGAACCGGACTGCTGAGAAGGTAGGCACGTGCTTAAGGTAGAGATGATACTTAACCTTTTCTAAACACTTCTAGCTCGGGGAGGCCTGGAGTCACCAATCAGTGGTGCTTGGGAGAAGATGCCAAAGAAACACTAGTATATCCTTGTCATCTTGTTCTATTATTATATCCTAGGTGCTTGTTGGTGGCCACTCTTGACTAGGTGAAGCTGTAGTCTGTCCTAGTACGGTCATTCTTATGTGAACAGTTCCCACCCTATTGCCGTTTTGTATGAGATGAGAGAATTGCCAGAAAAATTACAAACTTTTATGTGTGTTGAGGAATGCAGTATGAAGTGCCTCTGGAAATACTGCTGATGTAAAAAGCCAAGTCATTGTGTCATTTTGCTGGACAAAAAGACCAAGTGCTGGGGAGCTGATCCTGGGAGTGGTGTGGTAAGATGCAATGTTTGACTGCAGCTTCATCTACACATCCATTGTGCTCTTCACATTGCAGTAACAAGGGTTCTGTTGAAAACCTGCTGTGACATAAGACCAGGATGGGAAGGGTTTTGTAGGGGCTTTTGAAGTGAAAATTGAGCTTGTATTACACTTCTGTTCTAGCCAGCATTATTCTTTTTAGTGCAGGAGGAAAAGTAGGTAACTGAGGAGATCTGGTACTCATATGATATTGTGGAATATCAAAGACAAGAGGGCACAGTGGTTACTTTGTTAAAAAGGATTAAAAGATTTTTTTTTAACTGCAAAACATGGAAGGTATGAGGGGATAGGGTAAGAAAGAGCTAAGATTTTTGAAACAGCAGCCCACTAAAACACATTTCAGCTGTGCATATTCCTGTTTACTGTCCAGTAACACCTTTTGCTATGTCTACCAATATTTTTCCCTCATCTCTCCTCCAAAACCCACAACATTCAATCTCTTACCATTTCACCTAAGCATTCTCTTATCCTGTGTCTGTCTTTTGATGTTCTTCACTTGGGGTTTCAGAAAAGCTGCAGAAGAGCCCCTTGTGTGTGTGTGTGGGGACAAACCAACCGAAGACAACCCAGTTGCTATGTAATTAATATGCCTGACTCCTCCTGAGTTGGGTCCAGCAGCAGAGTTTGTTTCAGCAAAATGCTAGAGAACATATTTGCTCTGTACTTAATTTTTCTTACATTCAAATTTGTGACTTTTGCAGTGTGATTTGTTCATCCAGGAGGGGGCTCGGCTGGGAAGAACCCCCGCTGAAGTTGTGTCCACCTGTGACATCACTTTTGCCTGTGTATCAGACCCAAAGGCAGCAAAGGATGTAAGGATTAGATCTTATTTTTCTTCCGCCAGCTAGACTACAAGACATGGTCACTGAATGTCAGTTCTGGTTCCTGCTAACCATGGTAGCCTCGATCATTGTAGATGCTGGGCAGTGCAGCTATGTAAAAATAAATGTTCCAACAAAAAATTGTACTTTAGAAAAAGTAAAAATCCCTGGGGGGTAGATTTTGGTATCCCTCTAGGAGTCTACCAGTGCAGTGCCAAACTTGCTTGAACTGCTGTCCTGCATGATTGGAGTTTCTTTGCAGACACCCTATTGCTTTACCGCTCTCCTGTTCCCCACAGCTGGTACTTGGTCCGAGTGGAGTACTGCAGGGGATTCGCCCAGGGAAGTGTTATGTGGATATGTCCACCGTGGATGCAGATACAGTCACAGAGTTGGCCCAGGTAATCAAAGTGAACCGAACTTCTGCAGTACTATTGCTGAATCATGGATGTTAGTTCTTGTTGCTTCAGGTGGTAGTCTGTTGATAATAAAGATGCTTCTGAAGATTTTTGGGCTTCTTCTAGGAGACACTGAAGTCCCAGGCAAATAAGACAAAATAAACTGTCAAATCTTGACCAGCAAACTAAGTTGAATGAAGTGTTCCCTGGTGGTAACAGCAAAGCCTGTAGACCTGGCAGGGCTGTTAGCTGGCTCCAGTGCAAACAGCCAGCCGTATTTTGATCTGTTAAGATGTATTTATAGCCTGATTGGTATTCTGTAGCAAACTGGAGGAGAAAGCACTTGCTGGATTAATAACTGTCCTTAAATTGATAAAATGCATAATCTGCTTATTTAAAATGTTCCGGTTGGGGAAAAAAATGCCTACTAGTATTATGGAGACGATTTCTGTAGAAGTAGTCTGATTATTTCTGATGTGGTATCTTTGATTTCCTCTTTGGCATCTTGATTGTTATCCTCTGCCCTAAAGGCAGCATGTGTTGTTGCATGAGGAAGGGAAACTAGTTTTGATGAAGTTTTAAGCAGACTTACTGATGAAGCAGTAGTGTGTAACACGAATTTGGAGAGTGAAGAGTCATACATATTAGTAAACCTCTGGCTGAAGAGGTCAAAGGCCTTTGCTCTGTCGAGAGAAAGGGGAAAACACCATAACAGTCCATCTTCTGAGATTTCTACACCACATGTACATCTTCAGCACTGGTTCCTTGGCCATTGCAGGGTGCTATGGCAAAAGCACCTAACTTCGGCTGCTTAAAACGTTGACAGTAGTGATGGGTGCAGGAAAGTGTTACTGCGGTGTGAGGGCAACTTTTGGTCCCAGGTACGCTTTGCAGGATGCAGAACAGCACGTGTCAGTGCTGTCCTCTCCTGTTTTTGTGTCTAAGCTATTTGTTCTGCTGTAAAATTCTGTCCTCAGGGACAGGAATGGCCTAAACAATGGTCTTGCTGTGTTGTCTACTCAGCATCATGCATGCTGTTCATGCCAAGTTAACCAGAGATACTCTTTTGCAGGTGATAGTGTCCCGGGGTGGTCGCTTTTTGGAAGCACCGGTCTCAGGAAATCAGCAGCTGTCTAATGATGGGATGCTTGTGATCCTGGCTGCTGGCGACAGGGGTTTATATGAGGACTGCAGTAGCTGTTTCCAAGCGATGGGGAAGACCTCTTTTTTTCTAGGTAATTGAAACACAAAGGGGCCTAATAGCAGTTTCTTAGTGTAAGGACTGGGAATTCCAGCAAGGAGTCTGAGCCATGTGTGTCATCTGTTTCTTGTCTCCTTGGGCAGTGTGGGAAACTGGCCTGCTCTTCTGGAACTTAGCCAATTTCAGAACCACCAGCCTAAGTTTTCTCTTTTGAATACTGCCTCATTTTGGAGGGTCATTGATGCTTTTTATTTTAAAACATGTTTTGTTATGATTTCTCCCTGTCTTTGAGTGCTTGGAAAATGGGTAAGTTTTTTGAAGCCTTTCAGGGGAAGGGAAGGCTGCCAAGTGCTTAATGTGAAGAGTCTAGTGGTGTTAATACTGTGTGGGATGGGGGAGCAAGGCTGCTGTATCTCTTCTGGAGGAATGCCCAATGGTATGTCTCACTCCCAGGTGAAGTAGGCAATGCTGCCAAGATGATGCTGATTGTGAACATGGTCCAAGGCAGCTTCATGGCAACGATAGCAGAAGGACTGACTTTGGCTCAAGTGACTGGCCAGTCCCAACAGACCCTTCTGGATATCCTCAATCAGGGACAACTTGCCAGCATCTTCCTGGACCAGAAGTGCCAAAGTAAAGTTATCTTACATTGTTTTATTATAGAACATTTGCCACAACATAGCTGCATTTCATATAATGGCAGAAGGGAGAAAATAACTGTCCCATTTTCATCAGCCTGGGATTCTGGGTATTTTAAGCATTCTGAAAATGAAGAGCTGAGTTCCATTCCTTCCCCTTTGTACCCAGGGCTTCTGAGAATACACCCCAAGCTCTGCATTGTCTGCAGTCTGCTTAGGGCTTCAGTTCACAGTGAGGATTTCATTGGGGCCAGGCAATAAGTGAAATGAAGGGCAGGCTGCTTAGAAATCTGAGCTCACTTTGTCAGTGGGCAATAGTGACATTTTCTGCTGTGGCCGTATGAAGATAGAGAGCAGAGAAAGCGAAGAGCTGAAGGCAGTGTTCCTGGTGATTAGCATGGGAAAGGGAAGTTTGGTGTTGAGTTGCATGCCCTTGCAGTGCGGGCTTGATTTACTTCTGTCATGCTTATGGTTTTGCACGCATTCCTCTCGACAGATATCTTGCAAGGAAACTTTAAACCTGATTTTTACCTGAAATACATACAGAAGGATCTTAGATTAGCTATTGCACTGGGCGATTCTGTCAACCACCCAACTCCCATGGCAGCTGCTGCCAATGAGGTAAGAGTTATTCAGCGTTCAGATGTGAGTGCTCAGCATTTCTTGAGTAGAGCCATTTGTCAACAAGGGAAAAAAAATCTAAGAATTATCTCTAAGACAAGAGGACAGTGATTGAAGTATATTTTGACTAGGATGGAACTGGATTTGTTTTGTATTGTAGAATCCCATAGAATGTCATGTCACTAAACACAGATGGCTTCAACAAGACCTGGTGTGTTCTGATCTGCGCTGCTGTAATTACGAGTCATACTATGCAGTTCTCTGGTTTGCGATTGTCAGCAAAGTAATTTTTCTGCTAGGGAAAGGCTTCACAGAAGAGCAGCCGTTGATACTTTTCTAATTTCTCTTCTCTAGGTCTATAAACGAGCAAAAGCATTGGACCAATCGGACAACGACATGTCTGCAGTGTACAGAGCCTACATCCACTAGGCTGCACCGTTCTTACTGTTAATACTATGGTTATTGATTAATATTATTATGATACTGAGTTTTAACTCTGGACCAGTCCATCTCTGTCTCTCCATTTCCTTTTATACACAGACTTTGAGATCTGCCATGGAGGCAGCTGCTGCGGTGAGCCTTCCCCTGGTGGCAGAAGGGGGGGAGGAGGGGGCTTGGATTGTTACAGTCAAATTAGAAAAATCCATGCCATGCACTGACAGTCATGGAACAGAACAGTGGCGGCTTGTTCAGAAGCTCTGGGGCAACTCTGCCAGAAATCTGCTGCTTGGCTGCTTTTATTTCCCTCTTTGTATGCTTGTCCAAGATGCTGTTTCTAATGATCCTTTTCTCCTTTGCTGTGAAATAATGCGTGTTGGACTCTCTGCATCAAGGGGACAGGTGACATACATCCCATCTGTCTGTGAATATCACTGAAGTCCTTGGTCCCAAGTAAGGTGAGGAGCATTCCTGTTAATCGGCCACTGTTAGAGAGCAAAGCACCTCCCATGGAGGAGAATGGCAGTTCCAGAAGGTGATGGGGTTGCATGCAACACTGTCTAGATTCTGTTTCTTTTTACACTTCCACCTCCCCAGCACCTTGATGGAGGAATTCCTTGTACTGTTAAGAAGAACAGATTGCATTCATGTCTTCCCCTGTACAGACAACTATAGCTTAGGGAACACAAACCTTACTGAAAATGAGAGAATGCCGGTGTAAATGAGCCTCCTAAAAGGCTAATCACAGCTGCCCATCCCACAAACAGCATTGGAGATCAATGTGTTTGCGTAGAAAACTGCAAGAGAAACATATAGCGTAAAACTGGGCCAGCGATACTTTATTTGGGGAAGGAAAAAATCTTAGGGTTGCTGCTGGCCTTAGATTATGTTGCTTTACTACTTGCCTTTTTTTTTTTCTTTACACTTGTAGTCAATTACAAAGGCGTCTTGGATTGTAGCAGTGTCACAAGCAGTGGGGAGTCTGAAAGGGGTGAGAAAAATGATCACAGAGCTGAGACGTGGAGGATCCTGAGCTCCTTTCCACGCTCTCTCCCTGGCCTTTGCATGGTCATTGTATCTCTCAGCCTGTTTACCCATCTTTAAAGGTGGGTGGTGATTACCTACCTCACAGGGGTATTTTGTGTACTGATTAGTGATCTTTAGACATGTCAGATTTTCACTACATGTTCTTAGTGTTACTACTC